CAAGCAACACCCCTTCAAAAGGCCTGTTGCTGAATCTGCAGCCGTGTGGCTAAGCAGCCAAAGATGCTACAAGGGAGTTGCCCCCAGAATCAGAAGGTGATGGGAGAGCCATGGTGGTGTACCAAGAGCTCTTCCTCCCCTGAGTGTGAGTAGCCTGAATCTGAGCCCTCCATAGGGCAGGAGATAGGTCAGGGGACAGAGTAGGCAGTGGTCCAGAGAATCAAGAAACTGTGGAAGAGCTGTGGGCTAACAATGGCCAAGGAGGAAAAGAAGGGATCACTCTATAGGGAACCTCAGCTCAGTGGGTGGGGCTGCGGAGAGAAGGGGCTGTGTGGAGAACATAGTAAAAGCCTGCTGGAAAAGACCAGTGGCCCATCAAGTCCAGCATCCTGGAGGACTCTCATTATTACTCAGAAGCATTGCTGCCTCTGAATGTGGAGGCAGAACATAGCCATCATGACTAGTGTCCATCAACAGCACTCTCCTCCTCCATGATTTTGTCCAATCCTGCTTTAAAGCCATCTAGATTGGTGGCCATCACTGCCTTCCATGGGAGCAAATTCCATGCGCTGCATGAAGAAGGACCCTGTTTTGCAGGAAGGAGAGTCAGCAGACTGAAGGAAGGACCCATGGGGGGCAGGATACAGAGCTGGCAAAACGAATGGGGCAAAGAGGAAAGTGGGCAACAAGGGAACTCACAGACAGGGCCTGGGTGTAGTAGCAGGAAGGCAAGGGCAGGTAACTGGGTTGGGGGCGAAGCCACAGGAGAGGGCTAATTCTGAACACCAATCTGGAAGCACCAGCCATCTGATCACGAGGCTACAGGTTGCTGGCATTAAACCATGTTGGAACAAGAGCCCCTTGCACCAAGGACAGCAGGGGATTCATTATGCCGGGTGCCAGAGAGTTATGCAAAGCGCTTGGTAATTGCCACACAATGGCAAGCATCTTACACAGGGATCCCTGCACCCCGGAGGGGAAAGAAGTCGAAAGGCTTACAAGCAGAGAGGCATGTAATCTCTTGCGTACAGCATGGGGGTTGCCTGCCACTCAACTGCGCAGAGGCTCACTAAGACCCAGAGACAGTTTCCTAAGAACCAACAGGAAAGAAGGGAGGGAGTCAGCGAAGACTGGGATGAATGGCGGAAGGAGGAACTCTGAAAGGAAAATAGGGTGGCGTGGGGTGCTGCGAGCACTTGTCCAAAGCCCAAGGCGAGTGTTGAACTCAAATGCCCAGAGGTCAGGATTTTGTGAGTCATGCAAAGTAGGAAAGAACTGACCTACTCCTTCTCTCTTTTTTAAAAAAGGCTAAACTTTCTAGTTCATTATGGTTGAGTCGCCCACCAGGGACTGGCAGGATGCTGGGGATTGCGTGGCAGAGGCCATGGGGCCAGAAGCTGACTCAGGGGGAAGGGAGCAGTGATTTATGGGGTTTTGTGCCTCCCACAAGGGCTGAAAGAAGGGGAACAGTCTGTGCAGGAGAAGAGGTGGGGAAGGGGCACAAGATGTGGGGCAGGAGGAAGGGCCTGGGCATGCAGAGATGCCAGGAGCGGAGAAATAGATGGTGGCTGAGAGGGGTGGCCTAGCAAAATCATTCCCCCGCCCCACTGTCCCTCAGCACCTACTCAGTCGCCAGAAGTGTGTGTGTGTGTGTGTGTGTGTGTGTGTGTGTGTGTGTGCGCATTTTCTGTGCCTTTTAGGAGCTGCTGTTTAAGTGTGTGCTTTGTCAAGGCGCATTCTGGAAAGTAGCAGAAATCAGATAGGCAGTGGTGAGTGTTGGCAAAGGAAACCTGCATCGCCGTCAGGAATGCTCCTTCCCATAAATCAGAACTCCCCACACCCAAACTGGGCAGAATGGCTGAGGCATCACCTCAGTTGGAGGGCAGCCAACCGAAAGGATCAAGTCTGCCCTGAGCAGCCATATGCATGCACCAATATTTTACGACAGAAGACAGACGCTTCCGGACTCCAATTCCCACCTTCCCTGGCTTTGGGCATTCTAGATGGGGGCTGATAGGGGTTATAGTCCAACAAGGCCTGCAGGGCAACATGCTTGCCATCCATCCCTGTTACGCAGTGAACATGGTAAGTAGAAGCTTGTTGCAAAGTATCAGGGTTGGTTTAATACCTGGGTTGTTAACTCTGAAGGGGGTAGGCATGTCTTTGTTCTACAGCCATCATCCGTAGACAGACATTGTCACAACAGACTGTGTTCCCTGCTGTGGCAGGAGTGTTTGTTGCACAGTGTGGGTTTGTCAAGAAGACAAACAGGAATCTAGATGTCACCAGGATCTAAACAAGCCCTCCCTGCTAGCATCTAATCCTTCGGGAATAAGGCCAAACAAGACCGGACAGATATAGTCACCGAAGTGTGAGATGCCAGGGAGCTAGTTATCATAAAACGTGCAAAAAACCAACCCACAAAACCCCCCAGCCTTTACTGACTGCTAGCCTCGATTATGTGAATGGAGCCTCCATGCCCAGAGGCAGTCTACCTCTGTGTAGCAGCTCTGTATTGGAGTGGGCAGAGGGCAAACATTGGGGGAGTGGGGGTTAATAACCAGTTTGGATATTGGTTTGTGTGTTGGACTAGGACCTGGAGGAGACCAGGGTTCAAATCCCCCCCCCCAACTCAGCCATAAAACACACCTTCTGGAACAGTCACCTACATCTCAGCCTGACCTGCTTCGCAGGGTTGCTGTAGGGATTATACAGGGTGGGGGAAGAACAATGTAAGCCCCCTTGAGCAAAAAGTAGGAGGCATCTGGGCTGGCTAAGACGGAAAGCAGGAGGGCCATTTCATCCAGCAAGCCGACTGAAAGGTAAATCTGTGATGTCTGGGACACTGGCTCTACCCATTCTGGCCCTGCTCAAGGGACTAGTCCTCCTGAAACCAGACCTTTTGCAGCAACTCCATAAGCTTCTGCATTCCTCAAAGGACAGAGCCACATACTCAAACGGTTGCAAGAGCGAATATCAGAGAGACGGGACATGAAATTAACGCTTCTCCCTCTTCTTTTCTATGAGTACCTGTGTGTGTGTGTGTGGAACCCACTACCACCACTTCATGCTTTATTAGTTTTGTGCTTTTGGTAGGAGACGCCTTCCCTTGTCGCAATGTCTCATCAAATTACGGCCAACAACATGGGGGGAGCTATCTGCATCCGTGATGCGAGGTTACATTTTTGCAATTAAGCAGGACAGCCAAACAATGGCCTTGCTAGCATAGGGAAAGGTCAGGGATGGCAGCTATCTGTTTCGTGGCTAATTGCAAGACACAGAGAGCCAATTACAGCAGCGCCATTTGCATATAGCTGCTCGGGGCAGCCTTGATCTTTTCTGTTGGATGCCTTCCAACTGAGGTGATGCCTCAGACATTTTGCCCAGTTTGGGGGGGGGGGGGGAGAGGGAGAGGCTGGCATCACTTGATTTAATTTTGAGCTGCTGGGAAACTGGGCATTAGGAAGGCAACAAATGAAAAGGGTCAAGGCACAAATACATTTTGGAAACCACCTTCTCAAAGGCAGGGTCTTCCAGCAAACACAGCTCCAAGAACGAGATAGAGCCACACCTCCTGTGTCCCTCTATGTTGGCAGGCAGCAAAGTCTACTTCCTCTCCTCCAAGGAGACGCCTCTGCTGCCAGAACCTGATGGTTGCTCCACAGACCCCTTGAGGGATCAAGGAAAGATCTCCTCAGGTGGAAACCTCATTAACTTCAAGGAACCAATGGCAACAGATGGCATCGGCTCTGTAAATGGCCAGAAGGGAGCACTCAGGGAGTGGAACTTCTGGTTAGTGATTAGCTAGTCATAGAATGGGACGCGGGTGGTGCTGTGGGTTAAACCACAGAGCCTAGGACTTGCTGATCAGAAGGTCAGCGGTTCGAATCCCCGCGACGGGGTGAGCGCTCGTTGCTCGGTCCCTGCTCCTGCCAACCTAGCTGTTCGAAAGCACGTCAAAGTGCAAGTAGATAAATAGGTATCGCTCTGGCGGGAAGGTAAACGGCGTTTCCGTGTGCTGCTCTGGTTCGCCAGAAGCGGCTTAGTCATGCTGGCCACATGACCCGGAAGCTGTACGCTGGCTCCCTCGGCCAATAAAGCAAGATGAGCGCCGCAACCCCAGAGTCGGTCATGACTGGACCTAATGGTCCCTTTACCTTTACCTTAGTCATAGAACCATATATCTGTAGAATGGAAAGGGACCATCAAGGGCCATCTAGTCCAGCTCCCTGTAATGCAGGAATCCCTGACAGATGGCCACCCAACCTCTATTTAGAAACTTCAAATAAAGGAGAGTCAATCACTTTCCTTAGTAGTCTGTTCCACTGTCAAACAGCTCTTGCCACCAGAAAGTTCTTCCTAATGTTTAGTCCTGCTATAGAACCCAAGTTGCTCCAGGACCTTGCTGAAACAACTTGGATACCTGGCCTCAGCTATGGGAGCACTGTCTATGGTCTTGAACTCAGACCTGGGTATCTCTCCAAGGTGCTGACTTTTGCCTTTGCTGGCCTCACTGTCTTCCCCAGAGAACCAGGAATTGCTGACCTCCCTTTGCTACAGTAGGTCAATACCTCTCCTTGCTGGTGGGTATCTTAGTGGAACACCTTGCTGTGTGCATATCACACCAGTGCTGAAGGAAATGCATGCAATTAGCTGTGAGCTAACTGACTTCTAATGCTTTGAACATCTTAGGGCTATGCTACCTGAGAGAGCACCCAAATAGACCCTTTGCTGAGGCCATCTGAGAAGGCCCTTTCAATCATGCCACATCTACAAGAGATCTTGTGGAGATTTAAAGGAAGGCCTTTGTGCAATGGCCCAATTGGATAATTTCTTTTATCTGTTTCATAAAATTTACACATTGCTTGATTGTAAAAACAAACAAACAAATGAAAACCTCAAAGTAGTTTGCCAGAGAATCAAGCACTAAAATTATTTATAACAGTTAAAAACTATTTAAATCATTCCAAAAAATTAAAATCATTGCCAGGGAACTGATTAAAACACACACCAACCTTTATTAAATTTTTCCTCCACCTTTCACCTGAAGATCATAGGGCAGTTCACAACAAAAGCTTACAAAATGAGGACACAAAATACACAATGAAACAAAAATAAAGACTAATGAATAATACCCACCCCCCACTGCAGGTCTTCTGCTGGTTAGTAAAAATTATGGGCACTGTTCTTTAGCATGGAACGCTTTATAGTTTATGCTTTATAATGTGCTGGTTTTCTCTTCTAAACTGCCTTGTAACTTTCAGCAGTGAAAGTCTGCCTCGACACAATTTTAAAGAAATAAAAAATTATTGTGTGCCCGCTTCTGCTGCTCTTCCTGGCAAGGTCTCAGGGTGGTGGTCCAAAGGCATCTGAGACCACCACTTTGCTGAAGCTAAGCAGGTCTGGGACTGGTAAGTGGGGAACCACACGTACCCCACCTTTAGTTCCAAGGTGGAAGAAAGGAGGAGAAGGCTAATGTATGGCAAGGTAAACAATTTAATAAAAGATTCTGCCAGTGGCAACAAGGCACAGATTGGACCATGTACGCTGAGTGCAAAGCCTCTGTGTACATTCAAGGCTATGAATGGACACACGCTACGGCTGTGTTCTGCCTCGCAAGGTCAGAGGCTGCAATGCTTCTGAATGCCAGCTGCCAGAAGCTGCAGGAGAGGAGAAGGCTCTTGTGCTCACGTCCTCCTTGCAGGTTTTCCGGGGGGGGGGGATCTGGTTGGCGACTGTGAGAACAGGGTGCTGGACCAGATGGGCCATTCGCCCAGTCCAGCATTTGGTTCTCTCTCTTCTTTGGTTCTCAGCGCATTCATTTTGAGAAGAAATGTTTTGAAACCAAGTTGTGCATCTTTCCCCCCCCCCCACTTGTAATTCTTTATGTCCCTTAAAAAAAGAAAAACTTTTTTACGTATAAAAACACATACATTCAAATACAGAAACACATATAAAAACACATACATGAAATACAGAAATACAAATACAGAAATACATATAAAAACACACACATTCAAATACAGAGGAGCGGCTCCCTTCTCTGGCAGGACGAAGCACAGCCACAATCCCCTCCCAACCACCATTAAAAAAAACCACACACCCACACACCCAGGGAGATCCTACCCGCTGGTTTCTGCTTGTCAAAACTAACCCAAATTCAGCACCCAAAAAAATAGGCAGCCTGCCCCTGCCAAAGCAGTGGAACTCCACTATTTATTTCTGCAGCGATTGGGGAAGGTGTTCTCTCCTCAAACCCCTTTGGTGCATCAGGTTGTAAAAGCAACAAACTGCTCCTTTTTGCCTTGGCAGAGTTATCTGGGCACCAGGAAAGTTAACAGTCAAAGCAGAGGGAACAAGTTTCTCTTTACTCCCCAAACCCTGAAGAGAAACGCAAGTATTTCGCTTGACCGAGGCATCTCCCGACATTTGGGAAATGGGCACGGCCAGCACTGTGGTTCAAAGTCTTGACCCTAAACCAGGCACCCCAATAACCCCACATCCCAAACTCAGTCCCAACACCCCTGGTGAGCTCTCTGTCTTGGCCCATGGAAGTCTTTACTGTCCACCACGTGCAGAACGGCAATCGGGGGGGGGGGGGGGTTCCACCACATCCGCCACGCCAATAACTAAACTTAGCGGTGCAGAAACCAGCTGGCCCCTTCTGAAAGGCTCCTGGTGCTCTTCCAGTTCCTCCACAGGCCCTGTATCCCCCCTGGTTCCAGTAGCATATCTGGCTGAATAAATTAAACAGCAGAGTCCCGGGGGCCAAGACGGACCCCATCTCGACGTGTCGGCTGCATCTTCCTGGCTCACTCCCCCAACATCCTCTCCCAGATGGCGATGAGGTTGTCGAGGCCCCAGAGGTAGCCGTCCTCGCGGTTGCCTTCCTGCCAGGGCAGGCGGTGAGTCAAGGTCTGCTTCTCAGGCAGCGGCACCGTCTTGCCAAAGTCGATCATCCACACCCGCGCCAGACCTGTCTGGTTGTGGACGAAGAGAAGAGAGCTGCCCACTACCTCGTGTGTCTTGAAGAACTCAGACTGTTCGAGCGCCAGCCTGACTTCCTGCAGTCGCTCCAGGTAGCTGGCCAGGACTCTCTTGTCTCCGTCCACAAAGTCCCAGAAGGCCTGGGTCACCTCCTCCGGCTGGCGGGTCTTCTTGAAGCTGGTGTTGAAGGTGCCGTTCGCTTTCTTGATGCCTTCGATGCGGAAGCCCAGCGTGGTGGTGGAGCTGAGGGTCTCCCTCCACTGCATGTAGCGGGGCTTCAGGATGGCGCTCTGTGCATGCTCTTCCGCCGTGGGAGCCGCCGGGTCCACAGCCACCATCTTGTCGTACAGGTCTTTGCGCGGACAGGGCTGCTGCCTCGCCTTCTCCAGCTCCTCCTCGAGGTACGTCCTGACTCCCATCTTGCAGTCCATGATGGAGGGCTTGTCAAAGCCGGACAGCAGGTCCTCCATCTGGATGTAGGTCTCCCCATCGCGCTCCACCACCCCATAATAGGCCGGGACGTAGGGCTGCAGCACGTCGCACACCAGGCGCTCCAGGCATTGCTGCTCACCGGGGCAGTGCTTCTTCAGGATGCGGCCCAAACCCCCGGCTCTGAAGTTGCCTGCATGGCCAGCCAGCTGAACCCGGGGGTAGCGCATGTGAAAAGAAACCACACAGGGCGAACATTGCACCATGTAGCTCATCTTCTTGTTCTGGACGTCTCCGGAGCCGACGGGACCTCCGCTGCTGCTGGGAGCGGGACAGGAGGGCGCGGCCGGCCCGGCAGGGGCCGAGGGCGTCGGGGGTGCCGAGGGCATCGCGCGCTCCGTCCCTCCGGCCGCGGTGCTGCTGCGCTCGAGCTGCCCGGCTGGCTCCGTCGCCTGCGCTCCGCCGCCTGCGCTCCACCCCGGGAGGTGGAGCCGCCGCCCTGGGCGCGCCCCGCGGGAGGAGCGAAGGTGTGCATCTTGTATTACAATCCCACAGTCAGAGCAGAAGCATTCTCCACACACACACACACACACACACGCACACGCACGCACACACAGCAATTGCTGCAAGCCTCTAGAAAGTTGGCCGCTTTTGTTCATGCAAGCACAGTTCCTGCAGACATGCTTCTGCTTACAAATGAGACCCACTGACTGCATTTTGCCTCCAAGGCTGTCCTGGTTTATTTCCTTGGCACAGGCGGCAGCACTGGCGGAGGGTGGCTGTGTACTGCCAGAGGGGTGCCTTGTTAAAAACCTGTCTCCGACTCCGAGCTCACAATGGGAAAAATCTGTGTTCCCAGAAGCCTTTGCTTCTGTAACTCGAAAATGATCCAAGTGTGTGTGAAGTAGAGGCAAATTGCCATCTGATTATATTGTCCAATAACTGTCTGCAAAAGAAGGCATGCCCTGCTTCATGCGAAGTCAGCCAATGCGGCACGTGGTTCACTGAGCTGAAGGCAGCTCCCCAGCCACACCTTGTGGCCTGCACACGACAGCAATGCCCGCTCCCCCATTTCTTGTCCTGCTCCCCCCGTCCCTATCAGCAGCCAAAGCAGGCACCAAAGCCCAGAACATTCAGCAATCGGGGCTGCATTGTGCTCAATGAGCCACAGGTTTGATGTTATCTTAATGGGACAGGAGAATGGGAAGCTTGTGCTCACGGTCTAGGACCCTCGTACCTACGGGGCCGCCTCTCCCGGTCTGCTCCACGGAGAACCTTAAGGTCCATAAACAGCAACACCCTCGAGGTCCCGGGCCCTAAGGAAGTTAGATTAGCTTCAACCAGAGGCAGGGCCTTCTCAACACTGGCTCCAGCCTGGTGGAATGCTCTGTCTCATGAGACTGGGGCCCTGATTTCTTTCCGTAGGGCCTGTAAGACAGAGTTGTTCCTCCTGGCCTTTGGCTTGGAATCAACTTGATCCCCCCCCTTTCCTTTTTCATTTCTCCTTCTCTAATGGAACTCCTATTTGGGGAATTCCCTGGCTTTTTTCTGGCCCATGTAGGACCAGTCTGGATAGTTGGCCTTGGTGAAGACTTGATGTTTTCAACCCCAAAAAGTTTTTGATTTGAGTTTCTACTGAAATGAGGCTGCATTTTAATGTTGTACTTCATCTTGTTTTTAAGTTGTCTTTTAATCAGTTGTTTTTATACCTGGTGTTAGCCGCCCTGAGCCCGGTCTTGGCTGGGGAGGGTGGGGTATAAATAAAACTTCTTCTTCTTCTTATTATTATTATTATGAACTCCAGAAAATGAGCTAGCTCTTCCGGGTGAACTTTGCCTCTTCTGCAAACCCAGTGAAGCTAAACAATCCCCTAGATCTTAATAAGGAAGATGTAAGTCCCATAGGTCCATCAAGTCCAGGGTGGCCTTGCTCCAGGAAGCCAACAAGCAAAACATAGAGGCAGCATCCCTATTCCCTGCACCCTCAGCACCATCTGGTCCTCAAGGGTAGACTGCCACTTCACATGGATGTTCCATTCCTGACTATCATGTAATAATAATAATAATAATAATAGTAGAACCCTGCTAGGCCAAGCCAAAGGGCTCTCCAGTCCAGCCCCCTCTGTGCCTCCCTCAATGCCCAATAAAGATAACTTCAACAGCCAGTAGGTATGTGTGTGATATGGTGCCTCTGAACACAACAATTCAATCTATCTACCATTTCCAAAGAGCCACCGGGAGACCTCTCTCCCTCCAGCAATATGCCTCATCCCCGTTTTAATGCCAGCTCACCCAATGCCTATTTTAGACTGTAAGCTCCTTGGGCTCAGGGACAGAGGTCATTTATTAATTAAGATATTTCTATACCATGCTTCACCAGAAATGGTCACAAGGCAGTTTACATTTTTTTAACATATATTTTATTTTGGGGTAAAGACAAAACCAACATATTAAAATAGATTATGTAAGTACTCAACTCATCAGTCTCTTCTGCAGAACCCTGTAGTGTGCCCTTCGTTCACTGCAGGAACCACTGGCAGAGTCTTCTGCACTGATCTTAACACAAAGGCACCTATGTAAAGCATCAGCTATACAGTAGGCTCAACAGCAACTGCAGTTATTATTACTGCTATTATTGCAATGGATTTCTAAAGCACCAGTCTCAAGGTGGTTTACACACAGGATAATTTAAAACAGTTCAATGCCGGAAAGCGACCAGTACATTTAACCCTAACAAGTGCACACTTGTGAAAAAGACACACACAGCTGGAAAAGCTTGTTGAAACTGAAAAGACCGTCTTCAACTGTTTCTGGAAAGTGCAGACAGTGGGCGCCTAGGGAACCTCAAACAGGAATGCCATTCCACAGAACAGGGGCAGATGCACTAAAAGCCCTGCTCTGAGTTTCTGTGGATAATGATGATTATGTTTGTCCCTGAGGTATAATTGGGCATTCAGTGTTCTTAGATTTAATGCAAACCAGAGAGCCAATCTCTTACAAGGAAGGAAATCCCACTCCACACGGTGAACCTTGCTTCGTAGTAAACATGCCTTAGGCTGGCACCGCAAATTGCAAGGCAGCTATGCAGACAGCATTGCTTGACTGACATTCCCTCTCAACAAGGAGTAGCCATCTTTCCAAATAAGGCTGGGTAGGACCCCTGCCAGACCACAGTTCCCAGGATTCTTTGCGGGCAGCCATGACAGTTACACTGGCACAACAAAACCAAATAAATGCCAATATGTCCTACCTGAGCCCTTTGACAGCCTCAAAAGAGGATGGGCAATGAGGTTCTGTATCATATTTACATTTCATTTGTTCATTAGCTCAGGGTGGGGCAATTAATGGCTTTTAAAGGATTAAATATAACTGACTTGCAGCGCATAACGATTATGGAAGCTCTAGACATAGAGAGACAGCGGGCAATTTCCAGACGTTTCCTCACACCAAGCTGCCCTCTTCCCTCACCTTGCTTGACAATCACCTTTTAAGACAGTCATTAATTAGAGACCAGTAATTAAGCTCCCTGGTTTGAGAAGTGTTACATTAAAAGCGGCTGATCTGCAGAGGCCTCAACAAGGTGAAAGGAAATACAGGTGTGATGGGGACAGGGAGCAACCTTCAGGGTGCCCTTGAATCTTCCACACGTGCCTCCCCCCCCCCCCACAAAGCCCACCCTTTCCCTTTTGGCCTGAGGGCTCAGGCACTTTAAGAACTGATAGATTGCCCCTCCAAACATTTCCCTGTCTACCTTTGGCTTGGCTGCTCACTTTTGCTTTTAAAAAATTGGGTTGCTCAAGACTGCATGCAAATCCCACACACTGATCTGAACCCTATTCTCTTTAATCCCATGTACGAAGCAGTTGATTTTGGTTACTCAGTGGGGAGAAAGTGCAATCTGCCCATGCTCAGGGGGCACACAGTTCTTTGCAATTGCCTGTTCATTTGCAGAGCTAATCCCTTAAAGTGCAAAGGTCTTGTGGTCTGACTCAGTACAGTGGAACCTCTACCTGTGACCATAATCCGTTCTGGAGGTCTGTCCGGAGGTCGAAATGGGTCACTGGGAGAGGTGCCATTGTGCGCAGGCGTGGGCAGCAATTGCTTGCTTCTGTGCATGTATGAACGGCAATTGCCGCTTCTGCACATGCGCAAACGGTGATCGCCGCTCCTGCGAATGTGTGAATGGTGGCAAACCTGCTGGGTACTTCTGGGTTTGCTGTGGACGTTGGGCGAAATGGACGGAAGCAGAGGCGAACATAAGAAGAGGTTTGAGGCATGTGTCCTGTCCCTTTGGATACAGCTGACACACACCCAAACACAGATGTGGGATCATTGCTAGGTCCTCAAAAGCCTAGGTGGGGCACAGATCCAGGGCACAAATTCCCATGTGCTAATTTAAACATTGGGACATGGGTGGCACTGTGGGTTAAACCACAGAGCATAGGACTTGCCGATCGGAAGGTCGGCGGTTCGAATTCCCGCAATGGGGTGAGCTCCCGTTGCTCGGTCCCTGCTCCTGCCAACCTAGCAGTTCAAAAGCACGTCAAAGTGCAAGTAGATAAATAGGTACCGCTCCGGCGGGAAGGTAAATGGCGTTTCCATGCGCTGTTCTGGTTCACCAGAAGCGGCTTAGTCATGCTGGCTACATGACCCAGAAAGCTGTCTGCGGACAAATGCCGGCTCCCTCAGCCAGTAAAGCGAGATGAGCACTGCAACCCCAGAGTTGTCCGCGACTGGACCTAATGGTCAGGGGTCCCTTTACCTTTAAAAATAAAAAATAAATAAAAAATAAGATAGCTGCTTATTTCCTTGACATCTGACGAAAATGCGTTCCACAGGGCGGGACCTACACCTTCACACCTGCCTCTCTCATCCTCCTACCCCTTGCCTTGTGGCTGAGCTGCTTCAGGCACCTTGGATCACGGTTTCCATGTTAGCTGAGCCCTGCTGTCATCTGGGAAGGCCAAACAGATTAAGCCCCAATCCCTCCAGCCGGTGTTTAGAGAGGAACACAACAGAGTGGCTTTGAAGTGAAGGTTTGTTTAGGGAACACCATAATGCAAGAAGAAGAACTGATTGTCCGATACAGTTTGTTTATCTCGCATAGCCTTGACCAGCCTGATGCTCATACGCAAAGCATTAGGCTGGCAAGGTCAGTCCTTGTTCATCCAGGCAGATGAAGCTTATGAAGGTAGGAAGAGCCATTAGCTGGATCAGGCCAATGAGCTATCTAGTCCTGTTCTCACAGTGGCTGACTTGATGCTTGTGGGAAACCAGCAAGCAGGATCCTTGCACAAGAGCAGGTCTCCTCTCCTGTGGTTTCCTGCATCTGGTATTCAGAAGTGTTGCTGCCTCTTGACCACGGAGGCACAGCGCAGTAACTGTGGCTCGTCTCCTCCTCCTCCGTGGGTTTGTCCAAACCTCCATCAAGGCTCTCC